GGATTTTCATCTAATGTACATCTCTAGAATTATAACACACGACTTAGGAGTCATATTTATTAAGTGTCAGTATCACCAGCTCACTACATAAAATCCACTTACATTACCTTACATAATTTTAAACAGTTTATCAGATGACATTACACGTCTAAAGTCGATAAACAAGTTTAAGTGTGCAGCTCTTTTAGTGCAGTTTCTGTTTCCATACAATTACAGACTATTCGAGTATTGAAAAGTAAAATATTATTGATTTTAACAATAATTGTTAATTCATTAGCAACTATCTGGACTATATAATTCTAAAATACTAAATACGCATGTAACAAGTATTGACTCTCAGTTTCTGAGTCAATGGTCCCCATATTTAACAGGGTTTTCGTCCAGTTTCCCTATCCATTGAGCAAATACTGAGAGGACCCTATGTTTTTCTTCTGAACAAAAATGTAGCGTCCGTATCTGTGCTCGTTTTCTTTAGCTCAATGGGAAATATATTGTTCAAATAATCGTTCTCCATGTTTTCGCGGAAGTAAGTGGACTTTTTTACTTAAGGAACGTTAAGGGATGAGAGCCAACTGTTACTCGTATTCCTTCAGAAATAGTTTTTATTACACGGGAGAAAATATTTTATAATCATACCTTGCCAAAATGCTTGTTTCTACGTGTATTTTCAATTGAATGGGTGAAAATTACAACGGTGTAAGTGACATTTTATAAATTCTGAGAAAAAATATATATTTTAGGATATATTTAAGTAGCAGTGAAGTTTCATGGTTTTAATGCACAATTGAAATGTCGTGATGTTAATGATCAAACAAAACATCATGACTGTATGTTAATATTGACATAAATAAACAGATTTCTTAAAATTTATAAAATGTCACTTATACCGTTCTGTTTTTCACCAATTCATTTTAACTAAATATATTATAAGAGCGAGGCAAAGGGTTCAATAGCCCATGAAAACTTACGCTTCTCGCCCATAGAACGTAATACAGTTTTTAACAGGTTGAACGTTAAATAAAAGACGACGACGACAATGACGATAAACTTTGGTTTCAACATCTCTGGCCAGTCCCATAATTGGCTCGTTGTCTCGTTGATAATTGCTTTTCAACGCCACGTCAATTTTGGTGTACTTCTTTTAAGATGTGTTGTATTCTTATAGGGTCACTTTCTACCGAAGAATGTATGGAATTCAGTATTACATATATACATTGAACTCGTGTCTCACTTTCGTTGTGGTTAAAATTTGTATTTTCTAAAATAATAACTCTTTAAAAATGGTCACGTACAATGTTTTAAAAAACGAGTAGATTTTACATAATTTATGCTAGAAATTTATTCAATTTATACAAAATATATTTTCTCAAAAACACTCCAATTGGTTTCTTCAATTTCTTTCTCACGGATAGAACAAGAAACAGTTACAGAGTTCAAGGTATAATTTTCCTTGAACTCTGAATTTTGGAAAATTGCAAATATAAATATTTGCGGGAAAGTATGCACTGGTGTAGCATCATTAGTTTTCTGTTTGATCCAACACTTTTCTCGATTTCTTCAGAAAATGAAGGTTAAGGTAAGACGTTGAAGTGAGTGTGAAGCTTGCAGGGAGGCGCGTCGTGTAATCTGCAAGACGAGGGCCATCGATTCCCTGTGAAGGCGCCGAGAAGCCGCCTTCCGATTTGCAGCGCCAGTGCTCCGTTATGGCGCTACTGCGGGCTGCGATCCTAAAAGCTAGTCACAATTTGCGCGCGGCGATGGTGTTAAGGTTAGCGTTTCGGACTGTTGTACCCAAGTTGGCGGGTACAAACCCGATCGAAGCTGTGGATTTTTAAGGGCGAAAAAGTCCTTCGTACGCCTTCCTTCGGAGGGGAAGTAAAGCCGGCTGTCCCATGTTAGTAGATTTACTTGCATGTAAAAGATCCTCAAGCCTAAATGACGCGTCTGAGCTAAATTCAAAATCGCCTGTTTCTCTCCCAAGAAATACCTCCTTCCTCTGCTAGTTGGTGAAAGGAGCGTAGCAAAATTTGCGTAGTCAGACGGAAGAGCGGACCTGATGGCCCGAGTCTCGCCACGTAAAATAAGGCATTAATTCAAATTCAAATAATGATGTTTATCGATTCGAAGTTCTTATTTTGCGATGCGCGTGCGGCAAAGAATTACTTGGCTTAAATCATAGCAATACAACACAACTAGATATGCTCCAAAGTAAACAAAAGACTGGGTCGGAATCAATCTGTATGTCTGTCCCCTGAAATTTTGAGAATGATCTCATAAATATATTCTTGTAGTTGTAATTCTTTCTAAATAATAATGTACGCAACGTTTACGAAAGTAACTTTGGCGCACTCTGATTCATTCGTATGCTAAAACTCACTGAATTCATTCTTTCTGAGCGGTTCATGGTGTTTTGAAATGCGGGTTTCAATAATAATATTAATCTTTCCTTTTTAAAAATCAACAGTATGCATATTAGTTTTTTAAATTTATTCACACGGTTTTTGTTGGTGGTGTTGGTTGCTTTTAACAAAAGTGGTAAGTTAAAGTGTCAAACGGACAGACGTTTGAAGTAATTCTAACTTTCTTAGTGTCTGATAGCAAAATGTAAATAAATTTGTTGTCTTGATAACTCTTTGGAGGACATGCACACAACGACCTTCTCCTAATTTGTGGGAAAATGTTTTCTTTGTGCCTCGTACCGTTTACAGTCGATGTGACAGAAAAGGGGTGAAATTTCTCTTCAAATTGATTCCCAATTAACAAATTACTTTCCAGTTTTAAATATATGAGTATTCCAGAAGAAAAATACAGAAAGTGCATTTGAAATTAAATGGATAATTGCAAAGAAATAACTTTCATTTATTATACTTTTATATTTTTCTTCCACTGTTCTTTGTCTTCTCAATTGCTGTCTGTTAATTTTTTCTCTTTCATAATTTTATTAATACCATTCATCCGTGTAGTGACTGGCTTTCTCCTCGTTCTCTTTTTATCGGCAGCCATTCTAAAACCTTACAAGAAATTCCCTTTTTGCCCATTCTCCGAACATGCCCATACCATTTCATGTGTCATTGTTTTGCAAAGTCGAATAATGTGTATTTCACTTCCATTATTTATTTAATTTTCTCATGTCTAATTTTATCCATTTTTGAAATTCTCACCGGATAAGTCCATTTCAGTTGCCAGTAATTTTGATTTTTAAAATGCCAATCTTCAGCACCATAAATTATTCCACTTTGAATTAACTTCATTGTGCGGAATCTCAATATCCCACTCCTGTACGTCGTCTTTAGAGTTTGCAAATGTGTTCCGTCACGGAAGAGGTGATCAACCCGGTCGGCGCGTCGCGGCGGCCAGAGGCCAGCGGCCGGGCGCACGTGGGGCGCAGAGCCGCAGCCTGCAGCTGGAGCACTCGACTCCCAAACACCACTTGACAAGAAAGGTAAAGAATCTATTTGAGGCCAATTTGGAGAAAATTTTGAAAATTATCTGGGCTTCATGTAAAGTACACCCAAATTTTGGAGAATGTTTTTCATCATCGGAAAGCTTTGACTCGAGGCAGATCGACCGAGGAATATCCATTAAAAAAATCCTACGTATGGTTTAGGCGATAGTTGTGTTTGTAGACACAGGACGGACAGACGTTTTGGAAAAAAACAATTTTTCGGTATCAATAACCCACAACGTTTAAAATCTGACCAGATTACGTTTTAGAGGGAGTAATTTACTACATTTTAGAACAGTATTTATCCATTTCTTCTGTATCAGGGTCCTGAGATACGCGTTTTTCTATCGAAAAATCGCCGTTTTTGCCGCAGCATTACATAACTTTCTCTATGCTACGTGTTTTACTCCGTATATATCCGTATATACGAGAAATAACAAAAGAACTGTCATGATTGGACGACATTTAAAAAGGAAATTTGGTATTCATCTCTAATCGAAATTATTATATTTTAATGTCTAGTTTATGACGATCCATTTAATGGCTAATGTTAAAAACAAATTTGAACTCGATCTAGAAAATGAAAGTAATTATTGAGTTATATAATTATACATTTTAATAAAATAATTAACAGCTTTGTTCCACACTACAAATATAAATTAGGAACAGAATCAGCTTTCATTGAAGCAGAAAAATACGAATTGTCGTCTAGTGATGAGCTTAACCGAGAAATCAATTTATATTTAGAAAGATGCAATTTGCAAGTATTATTCTACTTATTTATTTTATGTCGCGAACATTGTTTAAGAAATCAATGCACACCAATTGACGGACATTTCAAACATGCGAAAGACAAAAAAACAACAGTGATGTCAAGGAATATTACCCATAGCAACCGTAGCAATGAAAAAAACATGCCGTAGAGATTTTAATCCCAAAGACACAGAAGTCTATTACAAACACCTGCCATGTACGAATAGTCCGAAAACTAATGGGAGAGGAATTTTCCGTAACTGTATTCTTGTGAGAATCTTACAATTCTAACTGAAATAAACCTGAGCACATTATATTATTAATTATTTATGATATTTATTACTTATTATTATTATTATTATTATTTATTATTACATTGTTTATTATTATTATATTATTATTTATTATTGATTATTATTAATTACTCGGGTGAAAATTATCAAACTGTTAATAAAAATAGTTCTGACATGGGACTGGCGCACTTACTGCGAACATCTCGTATTATGTCATCAAGTATCTCTCGTATGTTCAGAAAAAAAATATTTATTCCTTCTTGCGCGCTCATTGCATTTTTTTCAAAAACATTTCCTGAGGAGACGTGCAACGTCTAGCAGCCTACATAGCTGAGATGTAATGTAATAATAATTGAATTAAACGCAATACTTTTCTTGGGCGGGGCCGGAGCGTAAAGCTCCAGGAGGGTTGTAAAGTCGTGGAAAGAGGAAGTCGCGAGCGGGGGGGGGGGGCTGGCGCGGAGCGCAGTTGGTGCACACGCAGCTGGCGCCAGGCGGATCAGGCGAGGATGAGCGTAAGCCGCCTGGGACGGCGCGGCCTCGACTCGCGTCGGGGACAGACCCGCGCCGGCCGCGACGCCACTCGACGCCTCCAGCCAGCACGCAGCCAGCCACAGGTCGGTACGCTTCCTCGCCCAACGACGACTCGGGCCGCGCTCTCTATAAATCTGCCTGGCGACGTTTCTCAGCTTTATTGTGCTCTCATCAGGGATCGCTATAGTGTGGTGGAATCATTTAGTTTCTTGTGTTATCATCACATGGTTTACTATTTCGTCTCCAAATCATGATTGTGCGGTGATATGGTATGTGTTGGGGACAGGTTCATGTTTACCAAGCCGTGGTAAAGCATGGTTATAGGTGATTCTAAAATTAAACAGAAATCCCTGATGTGAGAAAAATAAAATGCTGAAACGTCGATAAGGTAAAACATTTAATTTTTGAACAACTCTAAATGAATTGTTATTTGCGGTCGTGAATTTGATAACATATAAACACCCTCAATTTAATTAAAGCCAAAATGAGGATTGTAAAATGTTCCCTCAAAATCCAGAAAAAACTGTGGTCCAAACGTATTCAAAAATGTTCAAAGAACTGTAACATTAGCGTAAAATGTGTAATGTTTGAATTTCCTCACGAAAATTACGAAGTGAGGGTTATCACTACGTTTCTCTCCTATCAATTCCTACCTTTGATCTATGTTTGAACCCAAAAGTGGAGTCTGTACGCTAATTTTCCTCCTCAGGAACCGGGTTTCAAGTCTTGGTCGACGTGCTAACAGCGCGTTCGCAGATTCTTCGGATTATCCGGTTTTCATAATTTTCTTCCACTCATTAACGGATTGATAACAGTATTTACTAGGCTGTCCGGGTGGCGCCGCGTCCATGGTGAAGGTGCCGACGTTTCGGTCGCCATTCTGCGACCTTCCTCTGAGCGTAATGATGGTCTCAGAATGGCGACCGAAACGTCGGCACCTTCGCCATGGACGCGGCGTCACCCGGACAGCCTAGTAAATACTGGCTCCGGCCACGGAAGCCTACGCTCCCGGATTGATAACGCTTGTACACACCCCAAGGCTCTGGTTCAGGGTCTCGTTATCAATAAATGTTGAGAGAAATAGTCTCAGGGCCACGTCTGACTAAATCTGAGAGCTTCCTGGTGAAATACACAGTAGACTCTAATGTTGAATTAACATTCGCATTCTACGACGTTCATTCACGTTCTTATGTTTTCTTAGTTAAGTGAAGACTACTAGAATATTTTATGGCATCCCTCTTCTGATAATTTTTTTCCAAAAACAAAGGATATTAAGAGTGAATTGAAACGAACTATTAAGACAATTTGCTAACATTTTTTCAGTTTCTGACTTGTTGCTCCGCTTTTGTGATAACTGTGACGTTAGTACGCTGAGAATAATGTCCGCTAATGTCCGCCAACCTTGAGCTCTTGAATTATCTCTACCCTTGAATGTTTCCACCAATGAAATGCGTTTCTTTCGGGACTTCATAGTTTTTAATATTTGACCTTATTCGAATTACTTACTGTTCAGTGTTCATTGACGATATTCATGTTTGTTCTGTTCTATAATTGGTCCAGTTTTATTTGAAATTTAAAAAAAATCTGTCAGAAATGCTTGATGGAACCGCTAATATCATACCGCACGTTCTGACAACACATATTGTGCTTCTACCTTCAGTTGCTTTGTAATTTCATTACTGGCTTACTTTGTTGAGTGGTGTTTTCGACGCTTCGGCACAGTTTTGCAATTATTTTCATATTTAATTATTTTAGTTTTTAATTATAAGTTTACAAGAAGGGTCAATTCGCTACCAGCACACCGGATCGCGTTGGATGATACCTCGCATTACCTGACACCGTGAGCCTGAAGGCGTCATTATAATAATTTATTATCTTGCTTTAACTTCTTCACGACTCTACCTGTTCGTATTTGCTATAAATTTTTTGCCATTTTCTCATACTAATGGCGTAGTATAGAGAGCATGTAATGCTGCGGCAGAAACGAATCACGTCGGATGACACCCTTCATAACCTGTTTTCTATCGAAAACCCTTTTGATTGAAACAACTCCTATTCTGGGGCCCTAATTTCGAAAAAGTAGGTATTAGGAATCTCTTGTTATCATATTTGGTAAATTACTTCCTCTAACACGTCGTGCAGTCTGAATCCATATATTCAGGTCCTTCACATCGAAAAATTGCCTATCTCTGTTATTCTGTATTCAACGCTAGAGTTTTAACCGTTTGAAGATTTCCTCCAAAATTGATATTCCCCAATCAATGTGGCTGAATTCGAAGCCCTGCGATCTTGAAACGATTATTTTGATTTTTGGGGGGTATTTTACACGAAGCCTTAACAATATTTTCAAAATTCTCAATCGGCTGGCATAGCAAAGGCATCACCTGATGACCCTGCAATGTCTCTGCTCGGGAGGTCGTAGGGTGCAAGTGCCGACGGTGGCAGGATTTGCGGCATAGCCATATAGCTCGGTCGAGTTCATTCGCTGTGTGGAGCAGAACACTAGGAGCCAGCCGTTCTTATCGTTAATTATTCGTGGTTTAGTACATCAATACTAAGCGAATGCCACAGCAAACCCTAACAAATGGGCTGCGGACCACGCGCGATTAGTCCCCTTCCTACCACCTGCCCTATACCCAACACCTCACGTACATTTACACTTGCATGCGCTACCCTACCACACATGACGTGAGCTTAGAGGTTTTCCCTGCTGGGGCGCTGCGCATCTGGTGGGAGACACCTGGGTGGAAAACATTTCGCAACTTCGTGTTCGTCGACGGCGGAACTCATCATTCATGGGTCATCTCCAGCGATGGAAAGCATGAACTACACTTACGGCACAAATGACAACAGTTGATGAAGCGCCCGAAAATACAAAATAATAATCAATCAATCAATCAATATCAAAATTTTCTCAAAAATGGCTCCAAATTTTCTAATTGATGTGAAGTGCTAATAACGTGGTGCAGGTTACTTTTTCGCTGAACGCTTCATGATAAACGTTTCTTCTTTAATGAAATCTGTTTTAAAACAAAAATATTTATATAAAATTGGGCAAATTTTTGTGAAAATGAAACGAGTATTTTTGCGCAATATTTTCGTAAGTCAAGGCAAAATTTTTAAAAAAACGTTTCCTCAAAAACGACTCCAGATTTATTTCTTTATTTTTTCCTGCAGATGGAACAAAATGGCAAAAGATTCATTTTCAGTAAATTGTCTGTATTTACAAAAATTGCAAAACTTGATCATTGCAACACTACAATTTTCATACAATTTTTTAAAAATTTATTTTGTGCGGTAAATACATTCTTTCTTTCTTTCGAATACAATTTAAAATATTATAGTTTTTATTGTTCGAGGGCACATTTATCCCAACTCTGTATAAAACAATTAAGAAAATGTTTCCATCATCAGAATAATGCATAGCCATTTCATTTGTAATCATCGAGGTACAGCAAAAAAGTGGGAGCATTGAAAGAGCGAGTAGGAAACAGACGAATTGCGATTTGGCTCTGCGCCAAATGGGCTGACCGGCCCCGTGTATCGCCGCGTCAGATTAGGAAATATACAGCGCTCCACAACACCGAAAAGGCCCTCCGCGTCCCACTTGTGCAAATAAAGGTGATTTAAACGCGCTGCTTCTTCAATTCGTTTTTTAACCAATAATAAAATATCCCAACGTCTAAAAAAATCTGGTTCAGTTATACCAGCAGATTGGGGTTTGCGACGTATGAAATTGCTAAAGCATTGGAATTGATACAACCACATGAAGTTACGAAAAATGTTAACAATTTTTTGATAGTATATGCAACGAATGCTGGAGATACTCTGACTGACAGTTCCTGAAAAAACGGGTCACAAAATAAGGACATTTATCATTGTGAGCACAGGGCTTAACACCTCCCCTAAATATGAGTTTTGATATAACCCGAAGATAATTTTGGTACCGACAAGGGACCGTATTAATAGGGACGTAGTAATAAGGATTATGATAACCTGATAATTTGATTTTTGTAATACGTTCACCGATTATTTCCGTTTCTTGGAAATTGTCTTAACGAAGGCTTACTCTAATGTGAGATTCCTTGTAAATTATTTACATTTTCGGGAAAGGCAGAGATCCCAGTAACACCTTTCGAAGGTGTTGATAAATAGAAAGTCTACATTACGACAAATTTCCCCAGCCTTTTATCACCTCCGAAATTTGAGACGAACTGTTATCTCTGGCAGTCTCATTACAACTAGAGCCACAAGCATGACATCACCTTCATTAAACGAACATATTTCAATACTTTCTTGGCGACCTGTTGTTCGAAAGTAGAGCCAGAGCGGAGCCAGTTTCAGGCAGTTCGTTGGCTGACGTAAAACGAACCGTAATCCGTGAGATCCGACGGTGTGTCTTCTCGCAGAAAGTCTGGTGTCGGTTGCATATTCAAATAAACACGAAATAAAGTAATTAAGCTCATAACGTAATACAAACTTAAGTAGTCTCTGAGGAAACATTACACAAACATATTATACATATATATATATATATATATATATATATATATATATAGGCTGAATACGACTAGGACCACGTATGGATACATCCTGCATTTACCGGGGCTCATTATAATTTTCGCGATGACAGGTACATGTAACTTTAATTGGGGACCAGCATTCAGCTGAGTCCGATTCAGCAGATTCAGCAGATTTTTATTCCCCTGGGTTGTTAGCCCTTTGGGGTATGGAAGATGAAATTATGATAATGAGAAATATATAGTCTATGAATTCACAGTTCTTTATGAAGCATAAAACACGCTTTGTGCTTACATTCCTCTCTAAAGCTTCTGCTGAAACTCCTTTCTGGATTTGGAGGGGAAATGAGAGCGAAGTCAGGGGAAGTGGCCTGTTCTCGTAGAAGTGCCGTGTTTCTCATGCAGGCAAGTAGCTCTTGCGGGCACCGTTTGACATACCGTGTATCTTTCGGTATCTATCGGCATAACCCATTTCGTAGTTTTCTCAATGTTTCTCTCCTCCTCCAATGATTCTATAGGTTGTGCTAGGAAAGTGTAACCGAGCACAAACAAGTCAATCTTCCAACTCTTCTTTTCCTACAAGATCTTTGGCGTTTTTTGAAGGTGAAGATAAACTTTGGTGCAGTTTCCAAGAAATCCCAGACTCCCTTAAAATGGTTACACATAAATTCTGCAGCGTTTATTCAAAGTACCCCATTCAGTGAGAAATAGAGAATTTGGAAGAGGAATTCCTGTTATTTCAGTCGTGTTTCTTACTTAATTGTTATAGGAATCAAATGCAAAAATTGTAAAAAATGTAAAAAAAAAGTTCTAAAATTTGAAGATGTTGAGAAAAGGTGGGGACATGTGGTTGCGGTGAAAAAGTGCAAGAACGTGCAATTGAAACATAAGCGTTTTTATTTCATATTATTTTCGCAGGACGAAGATATGAGCATTCTAATGGGAGGATGAAGGTGCAGCACGTAAAATTTCTACCTCTACTTTAGTTAGATTGTATTTTTGGTTTAATGAAATTTAATGGAGAAGATTAAATAAAGTTAAATATTTATATGTTTCTGTGTATATGCACATTTAAAAAGTCAGTGTCTGGTACATGTCTATTATTCAGTTCTAAAGTAATGAAACAGTGTGAAGTATGACGGAAGCAAAGGAGCGCTTGGTGGGAATGCAACCCACACACCCTTTTCGCAGGATTATTCAGTTGCTTTGGACAAACGGAGGTTACAAAGTGATCGGAAAATTTTGGATTCTGTTCTTGGGTTCACAGACATCCCTCCCTCCTCCGAGTCACCAAATTCACATTCGCGAGAAAGTAATCGACGAAAGGCGAACGAATACTTTATGGTATTCGTGGAAAGTCATGTTTGCATACATTCAGTTGTGTTAACACTTCTATGAACACTGAAATTTTTTTATTACTTTCAAGATTTAACTTCAAAGTTATTCTTACATTTTACTGTTTTATGTAATAATTATTATAAACATGCAATAGCAAAATATTATGTAAAAAACTATCAATTATTGGGTATTAGAAAATTACTCTGATCACTGGATGTAAAAAAATTGTGAATATACCAATAGAAATTATAAACGGGTAATTAATTATGAGAGATACATGGCCAGGAAGTGAAATACAATATCCAACAAGAGAATCTTTTATTATGTGACGAAATATTTTCCAAATCAAAGTGGGAGAGGTGGTGTGTGGACGTGAGAAAGTGAAATAATGACCGACCGAGAAAGTGAGAAACGTAAGTAACTACGTGCACTGCGTGTTTGTGAAAAAGATGGGGGAGAGAGAGACGTATGTGTGGGAATTAGGGACTTCGGCTGTGATGAAGGTGCAATTAAGGAAGACGGGGGGGGGGGTATCGTGACGGATGCAAAAGGGTGGCGGAGAGATGAGCCTGTGGGCCTTGTCGTGGGTTCGATAGCGGTGCGTCAACAGGAAAAGGGCCAGGGGCGAAGAGCATCGTGCCCTCTCACCAGAATCTTATAAAGAAAATCAGGACGCGGTGAAAAGAAAACTTACGCTCCCTTGTACAACATTCTACTGACATGTATCTGTTTATATTATTATTATTATTATTGTTATTGCTATTATTATTTCACTCCTTTGAAGACAAACATCATACTCCAGGTCAGTCCAGCCAAAGGACGTGAAAACTTCAGTGCTACCTCTTTTCCGTCTTTTGTTTGTGTTCTCCTAGTATTCTTCAAACAATACTGCATGTGTCCAGAATCACAGACTTCTAGAATGATGTATACATCTCAGGTTTAAATCTAATATGTCAATACCTTTGTTAAGGGTGACGATCGTTTTTCCAGTAGCACCAATTACTCCACCTCCACTTATTTTGCCACAAACTGAAAGTGTCCTGAGCTTTGAGTTGCACAGACGTTAATGATTTCTCATAAACTTTTTTGAAAACTCAACTTGTAAACAATTTCTCTGAAAGTGCGCTCAAAATTGCACTTTTCCCCAAATTTTTTCAATGAAAATTGGCATTTAAGACTGTTGATTACACTATAATATTCAATGAAAATTTGCGTATATTACTATGTTGAATGTGTAATATTCTCAAAAACATATTTCAATTCTACTATTAGGGGACTAAAATATTGTGACAAAAAATGTCGTTTTCGCAAAAAAAAAAAATGTCGTCGGTAGCAGCAGGAAAAGGGATGGGTAATACCGAAAAGCCTAGACTAAAGAGACTAGAAAACTGTCTAGGGTGAGAAAATCCGTGCCATTCCGTAGCACCACTATTTTTCTTGTAACTTTAGAATTTTTCACCAAATTGAATTTTTGAATATTATTTCAATTGTATTGTTAGAAACGTATCTCAAACTAGCGGTGCTCTAACAACACACACTTTCTCGCAATAATTCTACATTTGCACGTTTTGACAATGCACAGAGTTCAACGAAAATGAGCCCTGTGCCATTATTTTAAGCTTCTGTTGTTTTATCGGGGGGGGGGATTAAAGAAAAAAATGGGCATTTTTGAAAAAATGTGTTTTTTTATGAATTGTGGGTGTTCGGGAGCGTGAGGGATGGATAACGAGATTGGGAGGGACCAGGGGGGGGGACGATGGAGCGATCGGGAGGGAATGAGAGAGTCGGAGGCGTTGGAAGCAAGGAGGAATCGGGGAGGGAACGAGGAAGGAAAACGGAGATTGGAAGGACGATCGGGAGACGGATTGGAGAAAAGAGGGCGGAGATAAGAGGGAACGAGTGAAGAGGTGAGGATCGGAGAGGAAACGGGAGGAACGGGATTGGGAGAAAAGGCAATGAAACGGGAGGACGGAGGAAGAGGATCGGGATGGGAGCGAGGGAACGGAGAGGAACGGAGAACCGAGTGGAGGATGGGATGAAGGAACGGAGGTGATAGGTCGAGAAGGAAGGAAAGGAAGGAGTTGTGAGCGTGAGGCGGGGCCTGAGGTGGGGCTTGTGGCGTGCGGCACGGCACTGCACGGCGAAAGAGTCGCGCGCGGGACTACGAGGCGGAGACGTCTTCGGGCCCGGGCCTCGGCGCCGCCCAAGGCTTGAGCGGGAAGCGCTGGTGCGGTGCAGGTTGCACCGCTACGGCGCCTCCGCCCCCGCCTCCGCCCCCGCCTCCGCCCCGGCCTACAGCAACGGCTACCACCGCAACGGCAGCGCCCCCGCGCACACGCCGTTCCGCAAGGCGCTGGACGCGCCCGCCGGCACCGCCACCAACTGGCTGGGCGTGCTGCTGGCCTTCCTGTCGGGCGCCTTCTTCACGCTGTCGTCGGCGGCCGTGAAGGCGCTGCGCGCCATGGACCCCATGGAGCTGCTGCTGGTGCGCGGCCTGCTGCAGGTGGCCGTGATGCTGGCGGCGGCGCTGTGGCGCGGCGCCCCGCTGCTCGGCAACAAGGGCTTCCGGCTGCTCCTGCAGCTCCAGGTGCCGCCACTGATTCCGTTCTATCTCGAATTCGTTTGTATCTGCAATCCCTCTGTATCTCGAATCCCTCAATGTATCAAATCCTCATGTATCTCGAATAACTCTGTATCTCAAACCACCAAGTATCTCGACTCCCCCAGCATCACGAACCTCTGTATATTTAAAATGCCTATGTATCTCGAATTTCTATGTAGCTAAAATTCCTTCGTCTCACAAATTTTTCCGCATCTTGAATGCCTTCGCTCATCTAAATCTTTCGAATTTCAAATTCCTCTATATGTCGAATTCCTTCAAATCTCATTTACATTCGTGTACCAAATTATTGTAATGTTTAAATTTAATGAATTTATATATTTTTCATTTACTTTCAACTCTCCCACACATGAAGCGTTCGACAATTCAATCGATATCACGAATCACTTTTTGCTTCTTTGTCTTCGTAATAGAGGTAATTTTTGTCTGCTGTAATTTACTTTACGCTGTAAATCAATCCACGATCACCTGCTAGTACAAGAAATCCCAAACACTGTTGAACTGGAAGACACCCTTCTCTAAACATATTTTATTGATCAGCCTCATTCATAAACACATTGCGAACAAATTCTCAATGCAATAATTGAAGAGAGTGGAATCAGATAGCCCTGTGCCGTGTTTTAACACGAATTAGACAATACCAACTACACTGCTTGCACCCTTCATGGCTTGTATATCTGAATTTTATAATAGGGTTAAATTTTGGCAAGAATACCATAATAAAGATTGTCATATATTCCTTATACTAGATATGTACTTATCTTCTATGGTCCGATTAAAATAAGTTGGCGGTTAACAGTTGTGCATCTGAAGCGTTACTTCATATAATGCGTGTATGCGATTTGGTTACTTTTATAAGTATTTATTTCAAATGTTTATTTTGAAACGTGCTCCTATTTTCAACCTGTCAACGCCGCTCCTTTCCACTCACAACTGCCTATCACCAACTTCTTTTAATCGGACCGTAGATACCATTGACATTACTTAATTTCTGTCTGAAATGGCCAAGGACTATCTTCTCCCCAAATCCTTCAATTGTTAATTTATATAATAACAATTAATAGTTTACGTAATAAACGTTTGATCTGAAATGTTCGTGATAATGAAACGTAACAAGCGTGCGGAGGCAGCTGTTGCAATGGCGCTTGCGCAGGGGCTGGTGGGCGGGCTGACGCTGGTGCTGCTGTTCTACTCGTTCCGGCGGCTGCCGCTTGGCGACGCCACCACCATCATCTTCAGCTCGCCCGTGGTGGTGATGGTGCTGTCGTTCGTGTTCCTCAAGGAGCCCTGCGGCTTCTTCCGCACGCTCATCGTGTGCACGCTCGTCACGGGCGTCGTGCTCATCGCCAAGCCGCCCTTCATCTTCCACGGGGTGAGCGCAGCCGTCCCGCGAGGCAGGCCCGCCCGCCGCCGCCAAGCGGTTTGGGACGGTAGCCCGTGCCGCGTAGAAAAACCACCAACGCGTGAACATGGCAGCCTGCAGGTCGAGGTTTGGCGCTGCGTGATTTTTGGGTTGTGTTAAAAACGCTCCTCTTGAGAGATGCTCAACAACGCGATTCTTGATTTGCACGGTTTACAAGTGAGTAAATATGGTACACTGATGTTTGGTACATAAAACTGCGGTACGGGTCATCTTGACAAATGGCATAATTTTTTTCACTTTTTTGTGGTGCTTCTGATAAACGCAGTAAAAAACGAAGTAGACACGCAGCCTTGCGTCATGTGGGGCATTTTCAGAAGCGCCAAATGGCATAATAGCTTATTCGTACATAAACAACGACACAAATGCTGTACTTGTAGATAAACAAGTAAAAGATAACTCTCTAAGAAAAATTAGCTTGATGTTGAAAATACGACGTTGTTATGAAAAATGCTAGTTCTTAATAATCTGGCAGACGAGATTTTTGGGTCTACAAGCATATTCGGGTCGACATCGGTATTCGGCCACGTATATTTATTTACTAATACACGATGTAAAACTATCATCAGAAACATTTTCCCAACATGTTCAAAAATGTATTTTGCGCAAAAGTCACAATACCTCACCATCCTTTATATTTCGTGTTGCACAAGACATAGTTTAACGTCCCAAACGTTTCAATGTAAAATCTATCACACACGACCTTTTTCAGTGTGTATAGCCAATAGAATATTAGCTCCAGTAGTTGCTGAATGGAGCTTCATTTCCTTGCGCGTGCTTTCATCTACACAGCTGCATGTAAAGGGCATTATACATGTTTCGAATATAAGACAGATTTAGTGGCAGCTCCATTTATCTATTGAATCAACCGTAGCATCTGTGGCCACAACCTCATGTGTGAAACGGCGATGGAAGACTCTCGTGGATTTTTGCTTTTCTTCAAATTATAGACTCATGGTCAGCC